GCTCCCCTCCCCTCCGGGACCTCAGTGGTTCCCCGACTATTCTCCTTAGCTCATTGAAGTCTGCCCTCCTGAAATCTAGGGCTGCTGCCTTGCTGTAGGCCTTTGCCACCTTGTGCTGAATGGTGAATTCCAGCAGGCAATGATCACTGTCACCCAGGTGGTCGAGTACCCGCAGCCCCCTCACCAGGTCATCGCCGGTGGCCAGCACCAGGTCCAACAGGGCATCTCCCCTGGTGGAGCTGTGCACCTCCTGGGTTAGATGGAGGTCCTGTATTTGGGCTAGGAACCTACGTGAACCGTCGGACCTGGCTGACTGCTCTTCCTAGCAGATGTCTGGAAAGTTCAGGTCACCCATGATGACCACATTCTTTGACCTAACTACCTCCGTGAGCTGACTTAATAATTCCTGATCTAGCTCTTCCCCTTGGTTGGGTGGTCTGTAGTAGACCCCCACCGTTAAGTCTCTTTCCCCTTGACTGCCTTGTATTGTAACCCAAAGCACTTCAGAGTGCCCCTCCTCTGACTCTTTGCTAATTGATGAGGATGTGTATTCCTCCTTAATGTAGAGCACCACACCCCTGCCTTTCCTCCCTGTCCGGTCCCTCCTGTACAACCTATAGCCCTTGATATTCACCACCCAGTCATGCATTGAGTCCCACCACGTTTCAGTGAGCCCCACTATGTCTGGATTGGTGTCAGCTAGCAGGAGGGTAAGTTCCTCTTGCTTGTTTCCCATACTATGAGCATTTGTGTAGAGGCATTTGCAGCCTCCTGAGGATGTGTGCACTGGCCCCCCTACTCTCAGCATTGTTCTGGCCCCTGTTGCTTACCTGTGTATCTGTTCCTCTTGTTGGTCTTTTAAATTGTAATTTTAATGACAAACTATTTATGAGGGCATTTGTCTGCTCTTCCTTTCAATTTATGCAATAAGGAAAGTATAGAAATGGAGTAATATATGTTTAATAATGTATAGAAGTAAGATATGAAATCTCTGTTTTGGTGATACTCGCACAGTTCCATGTTAAAAGATGCTAGAACCCAAAGAGGGCAAAATCATATACATGTACTGTATGAACTAGGCCTTGCATGTTGTGTATATTGAGTAAAGAGTTATTTGGAACCTACTGTGTCCAGCTCAGTACAGTTCCCTCATATTATATATATATATATTTTAAAGACCTAGCCACGATGCATAGTCAGGGCACTTTTTGTTTGGCTAATATAATCATAGTAATCATAGAAAGCCAGTGCCCTCTCCATTGTTAAGGCCTCAACCAATTTCCATTCTGAAGCCTTTATTTAAGACTTCCTATAGCATTGGTTGGAAATGTAGTGTTTTTAATGAAATTTGCCAGCTTTGCTTTCCATATAAATATGACCCAACCCATGCCTTGAGATCTTTTTATAGACTACAACTAAAAGACTTTTCCTATGCCTTAGTAGTAAACATGTGTAGTTTTGGATATGTCTATCCTGCTAGTTAGCCCCTCTAGGCAATGAATGGCCAAGCTGCAGTGCTGCACAGAAGCACCTGAGGGTACAGTAAACCATAAGCTGAATGTGAGCCAACAGTGTGCTCTTGTTGCAAAAAAGCCCATAGCATATGAGGTTGTATTAACATGAATGGCTCTTGCAAATCAAGGGAACTGATTCTTTTGCTCTATGCAGCATTGGTGAGGCCTCACTAGGAGTACTGTGTCCAGTTTTGTGCCCCACACTTCAACAAGGATGTGCACAGTCCAGTGCAGAGCAAGGAAAATTATTAGGGTCCTTGGAGGCAAGATTTATAAGGAAAGGCTAAAAGGACTAGGATGGTTATTTAGTCTGAAGAAGAGAAGAATGAGGGGGGATTTGATAAAAGTCTTCAAATACCTGAAGGGAGATTATGGAGAAGATGAAGTTGGGCTTTTCTCCATGACCATAGGGGACAAGACTAGGAACAATGGGATTGAGCTGCAGCAGGGGAAATGTAGGTTGGAGATTAGGAGCAGCTTTCTGACTATGAGGGTGGTCAAGTATTGGGATAGGCTACCTAGAGAAATTGTGGAATCTCCATTCTTGGAAGTTTTCAATAGCAGGTTAGACGCATGTCTGGGCTAGTTTATTCAGGAATGATCCTGCTTTGATTGGGTCTGGACTAGGTGACTTCATGAATGTCATGCCAAGCCACAAGTGGCCAGGTCTGGAGGTCACCCAGGGTCAGAAGAAGCAGCCAAGATCCAAAGGTGGGTTAAGGTTCACTGGGGCCCTGGGCAAACAGAAAACTGGAGGCCCCGCACGCCCCATTATAAACATAAATGTATCAGAAAGTATTAATAAATAGACCTGTTAAATGGTGCATTAATAAATAAAGCACAACACCCAATGTCAAAATTAACTACTCAATTTTGCTATACACAAGATTGAATAAAACAACTGCCTTAGAAAAATTACTCAGATGCATGGGATTGTCATAAATGTATAACAACATGAAAGGAATGATGTTTTAGTTTAGTGGTCATGTAGACTCTTGTTTGTCTTTTATTGTTTTTTGCTTGAGAAAGGACTTGTGTGTCTGAAAGCTTGCAAATAACATTGATTTAATGAAAGATATTAACCTCTACCCAAAGCTACAGGTTAACATTCCCCTCCCTCCACCCCTACCTATTTCTCACCCACTGTCTGCCACAATTTGTATTTTCACTAACTGGCATGTTGCATATTGGCTTCTGGGATAAGCCATCCCGAAAGAAGAATCAAATTGGCCAGG